ATATCGGCTCTCGCGATAGAGGAAATGAAACCGTCTTGGTGGTTTGTGTTTAGTTATTAGCCCTCAACCGCCACAACCATGGAATAAAATAAATTACCGAACCTAAACTTTTAAGTTACAAACAATTCAAAGGGACAAATTTGCATTGTTTTCGTGTTAATTGTCTTACGGATGAAAGCGCCTTTTCAACCAGTTGTGCGCATGCTAATAGATTATGACGAATCGCCGTGAACAGCCAATATAAACGTAAACAACCAAGGGGCTCTTTGTTTTTCGATTGATTTTAGAAAAGCCTCTTGGAGCTTTTTCTCTACCTTATTTTTGATTTGCTAAGGCATAGGACTCGTGACTGTCTTGCGGCTAAGGTTACTTAAAAATATTTCTTATTATTGTGGGTTACTCGAAAGATTCAACTCATCTTTGCTCACCGGATTTATCTGAAGGAGTCATCGATTGCGAGTAGTGAATAGGTAAGTTATGTTGTAAAATGTCGTAAATTCTGGGTATTCTATCTCCGTCGTGGATCCGACGTCCTCTATTTTCCAATTTAGAGGCTAAAAAGGTCTTCTATATTGGATGGACAGGACCTTTGCTGAACAAACTACTTAAGCATATAGATATAATATTGTTTTTTTAATTACTATGGACTAAATGGTAGTTTGAGAAAGCACCCGGCAACGTGTGTCAGTATAGAAATTAGCAAACAATAACGTGTCTGAAAAATAATATCTCGTGTTGTCTTCAACCTGTGGTTCGATATTTTACAGACAGGTCCCTTAACACTCTTTTGTTGCTGTTTGCCTGTACTGATGAAGCATATTTCTTGCTGTCTATTTTCTCCGTTATGATTTTCGTCAATAACTGTTTTCGTTCGTTTGGGATTCATTTTGTTGCTTCCCTCGACTATGCAATATTTATTCGTCTAATATCATGACCGCATAACACGCACTTAGGTTCTTTATATTACGAATGTATGATTCATGTATTTATTTGTCATCAAATGTTTCCGTAACCACACATTTTAAACATTCTTGAAAAGATGACTAGTACTCCTCAGTGTTTGAAACTTTAGGATAGCGAATGATGTGGGACAGCTGTATTCAGCTTGAGAGAATTAATAAAAAGTCTGTGACTCCGGTGAGGGTCTGTACCTTGAGCTTCTCGATCTTGATGTCGAAGTTGTGCAATCTAAGCCACAGCGAACTTGTTAAGGCCCGACCGTTAATTAAGTCCATGTGTGGAGGACAAATTTGATATTAATCTGAATTTTTACCATCTTTTATTATGTAAATTTGAGCAGGTATATTCCTATTTATATCTTCAAAAATTCATGTTGAATTATTGAAATTACCAAGATCATAAGAAATCAAGCTATAGAAACAGAAAGATTCTTAAAGGAAAAGGTCTTCATATGGGTTTTGCTTCATTTGAAGAAGAGTACTTTGTTACGTACGCTTTAAGGGACAATAGATGTACTGTAATAAAGGAAAGTTTGTAAGGGAAACGATTGTATCTTGCTAAATAGTGTAACACGGGTAACAAAAGCATCTTACCGCAAACGCTTTCAAAAACAAAATTGTCATGTTAAACAAAGGGAAAGGTTTCTGTCGCGTCGTTTGATATCAGTTTTTCGCGACATCACGTGCAATTGAGGGTGATGTCAAATGGCAAAATGACTTTGAGTAAGACAAGTTTACCCCATCCTTGTCGACCTTATATGAAAGATTACTCTATTGTCTAAACGTGATCTTCTGAATCGAAATTTCACAATAAAATCTTGGAACAGTTAAATGCACAATGCCTTTAAATTTAAAGAAACTTGTACTACCTGTAGTACAATGAACCCTATCTCTACCTAGAAAACTGACCGTATAAAATGACATTTTAACCATGTAAAAGGCAATTTTACATGGTTGATTGCAAACGCTTGCCTGATTAATTTTTGCTTCTTTTGTATTCGCTTTTGTTTTTCTCTATACCCTCAGATCTCTATGTTTATTTTAGTTATGTAAAAATTCAGTTAAAGAGACAGGAGTTTCATTATTCATAAGTGAAAGAAACTTACCTGCTTATCATTTATAACATGCTTGCAAATTGTATTGTACAATAAAAGGCCTAATCCTGTATGAGCTCAATTTTTTGCAAAGTTCAGTACTCAAGTACAGAAGCAGCAATTTCAAAGTGAGATAAACGAAAACAGGAAAAAGAACAAAAAATCATTTCATAGTTTTATCGTTAGTCAGGAGGCTGGTTAAAAGTGTGACAAAACAAGCGGCGCCAAATACGCTCTTGGGTTTTGGAAATCGAATTTCATCTTGAACGTCATCTAGTTCACTTTCTAATTCCTTTCGTTATAAAAAATGATCCAACTTCTTGGAAAAATCCCTTGACATACGATGTACATCACCTTCTTCCAGACATGCAGCCTATATGCAAAGTTCGGCAGAGGTAATTGAAAGACATGTACCTACTTTGCTGATTGAAGAGAGAGATTCTTTTTTGGAGAAGTTTTACATTTCAAATATTGAAAGTAAAATAAATTGGTCACAAAGAAAATTTGTCACTTTTAAAAATGCATCGGCGTTCACATTTCAGTTTTCATTCCTTTTCAGAAACATCAGAAGGTTTTGCTTCTGAACCGAATTAGTCTTCATTTGTTTTGATTGTGAAAACGTTGTATCCTATTAAAGGACCAACTGGGAAAAGATTTCCACTCAAATTCTATGCGATGTAGTCTGTAATAATAAGAAATACCTCCGAGAAGTAACTTGATTATGTTGTTCAGGTTATTTTTCTGATTAGAAGAGAACCTGCCTGAGACTCTTGTAAACTCTACCTACTGGTTTTATTTCTTTAGGGGACGTAAATTTTGAAACAGAAAAAACGTGTCACTCTGCTAGTTTAGGAGCAACTGTGCCTTGTGGATTTTTGCTTTCGAGTAATTTCTAAATTCGTGTTTCCGCTAATTTTTCTTCTTCCAGCACTGAGATTGGTTCATATTTATTTAAAGGAGAGAAACTGATGACTAAATTCCAAGAAAGAGAGAAATTATAGGTCACTCTGCTCATTTGCGACAAAATTACGATTTACTTCTGTGGTGAGCTCCGACCAGAAAGTAAAAGCTGCCACTTTTTATTGCTCGCTAGTTACGTGTGAAATTATGCTCCGCAAGGGTGTGTAATGCAATACTTTGGAATTACCTTAATAAATAAACAGGATAGTAGTTATAAGAGCAGTAATATGCAGTTGGAAGATAGCTCAAACATAATTTCTTATCCAATGACAAGGAACTGTTACGGAGCTGATGTAGCGCAAAATTATACGGTGTTCATGATGTTCTTCATACTAATATCCATATTATTCCCTGGAAGCACTTGTAGTACGTTGCCGGTACAATAGTATCTGAAAGTCTCTAATATGTTTTCATTACCGTTTGGAAACTGGGGGGATGGAGTGGGTGGGGAGGTAAGTGTACAAACCCATCCCACCTCTGAAGAAATTTTCTTTGTTTACTATGCCTCACAATTAATGGGCAAAGAGCCAGTACCGGTTCACTCCTCAAAAACAGGTTAGATTTTCGATAATCGCTGACCCATTCAAAACTTTTATAAGGTGAAAATGGATAACCTAATCATGTCTGTTTAGATTTTAACATGCTTTAATTTTGTGGTTACACTCAGAGTGTTTGAATTCTAAGTCAAGGAACTGAGCCCCAACATGTTCCACATAACTGGTCTAGTTATGCAGCTTCTTTGAGAACATGCTGAGGCTCAGCATATTTTGGCTTATTTCCTGCGACATACTGAAGAAATTACAAATTGAAGGAAACCAATGTGGACTTAAAGCCCGGAAAGATGAAAATACATTATGAAAATGCAGCAATTAGGGATGACTAATAAAGGATAACAAAGGTCTAAAATCAATTGCGAACGAAGAACTTGAGAAAAATCTAGACTAAACATTTCAGTATCCACGTAACTTGATTTAGCATCATCATAATACTTACAGTGTGGAAAAAATTTGCTATTGCAATATAATTCGCATCTTATACGTGGTGCAAAGACAAAAAAGAATTTTTCGCGGTCAGTTTCAGTCTTGTCATTGCTCTGAATCTATTTTTTCTGTGGACCGTTCTTTTCAAGGTTGACGACATCTTCAACAAAAGCGACATCAACAAAATTGGGAACGTATTCGAGAACAAAAGGATCATGAACCCGATCCATGACAGCTGTTGACCTCATGCGTAGGTTTGCAAATTTCTGAGTTGAATCCTTCTGAAAAACAACATGAGATCTATGTCTTATGGGAAATTTTCCAGAGCGGGAAGCCAAAAGGGCGAGTTTTTCACACCTAGCACCACATCTCCCATCCGTGGGAAGAGGGAGTTTGACGCAAATGAAAGCGGTGAACACATCGAGCTATTCGATATTTCTTAGAGAAATAAACTATGCTCACGATTTGATCAAACTTTTTCTTCTTCTTTTAATTGAATAAAGAACCTGCTTTGTTTGTTTGTTTGTTTTTTTTAATTTAAACGTACCTTTCTCTCACAGGGAGTAAGTTAGGTTTAAAGATCTCAATAATTAACGGTGTCGCGTGGTAACTTATTGCAACAAGTTCAGCTCGCACTGAAATGTCTTCCTCGCTGAATTTTTTGTTTTCAAACAGATTCATTTTTGAAAGTTAGGCTTGCTTCAACGCATGATTAGAATAAATAGTCCATAATCCTTTGCAAGCCTAGGCAGGTCACCTCAAAGCAGTTTGATTGCCGTAAAGTGATCAACTGAGATTTGAAAATTTAAAATCATTCAGCAGTGCTGTTGTGGGCTTCGACGACGCCCGAAGTATCTATGTAGCTTGTTTCGTTCTCGCACAAAGACAAGTTTCCTCGCATAGTCACCGAAGTGCGACTTTAATTTATTTATTAAAATTCAAGGTGAATCGAGTGAATCGAGTGGATTGTTTTGATCTATTTGCATCACTAACGAAAATTTGTTTAACATTTACCGATACTGAATAATACATGAGACATGCAGCATTAAATATATTCGCAGAGCTGAACTTTGTGACTGCAGCCTGCAGTTGTTCTGTTGTTGGTTTCAGGAGAAAAACTGGTGACTGCAGGTAGGGCCGCATGATTGGGATGTGTTTGAGGCAGATAATAAATCGAACAGATAGCGAAAGTAAAACTCCATAGTTATCTTGATTGTCCAAAGTTAATTAAAGAAACTGTTTAGTTTGCCGGCTTCTTAACAGCGGTGGTCTGTGGCGGAATGAATCAAATCAATTTTTTTAAAGACTAGATTAGAAATAAAGCATAAATTTTCATTTTTATATTTATTTACAGCATCTTAGTGCAAGATGTCTTCGTCCCAAACAGTTGGTCTGCCATCCTCGAAAATGTTAATCGTTTGGATGACGCTTCTTGGATTCTTTACTGTGAAAGGTAATATATTTCATGTGATCAGTGAAGAGCAACACCTAAGCTCATGTCCCTCTGTTCATTACTGTTAATATTTGTAAAGAAAATAGACTTCGCGTGCGAATTTACGAGCCGGCTAAACACATACTTAAATGCTACATCTGCTTCATAAACAGACGTTTCAGGAGAATATCCAAATTATTTATGTTTCATCGTTAAATTGCACTTTTGTGGGGCACTGAGAAGTCTAGACGCAGATGAGATTTAAGGAGTCGAATTTTCTCGGCGGTATCTGACGAACTTATTATTTCCGTCCTTCATTATCTACTATTCAGGATAAGTAGATCATAACCAAGCAGTGGTTAGTTGCCGTAGACAGCAGGCATCACATGCAATAGTTTCTGTTTTGTTTTTTATTCTTTTTTTCTGCCAAAAAGAACAATTTGAGGTTCACCATCGATAGCAAATTTGCAGGAATTACTGAACCATTAGTTTTGAAACTTTGATGACCACCTTTGTTTGAGTTTTTTTGTATTCTTCAATGTAAAAGTGAGGTAAGATATGGTTTAAATAGAATGAAGAACTTGCGTGCAAAGCTTAATTATCTTTTCGGAAATTTGCATGTTCGTCTCGTTTTTGTACAGCTCGGAGAAGTTTGACGTCAATAACAAAAACACGTCGAGCTTTGTTTGTAAAAACAATAATGAACACGTAGTACATAAAAGAACACTCTACTTTAGCCAAAGTATCCTTTTTTTTGGGATCACGGGATAACTGACAAAGCCAGTTAGGCCTGAGATACAAGAACGAAGTTTAAGAAATACCATCACTTAAAGTTTAGTTCGCGATTTTAATTTTTGCCGGCGAGCCAGCATGTTCTGCAATTGGTGATTGTGTCTGCAATAACAATTCCATCAGTATTTTTAGGTCTTCAGAGAGAATAATGAGTGAGCTGCGGCCGGATTCGTGACCAAGCAAAGTTCGTTTTAGCATCTTAGGTTCTAAAAAGTGGAAGCAGGCACTGGAGTTGAATCGCCAACCAATATCTGATATAATATAAATAACTTTTTCTTGTCTTTGACACGGTATCTGTGGTTTTTTGTTATTTTTCCTGTTTACAAATAAACGATACTCAGCGCTCACATAACCACAGAAAATAATAAAAGAAGAAATTTCAAACGACTTAAGTATGGCACTTTTATCAGCTCATTAGGACTCTTCTTGGAATAGTCATGTCTTATTCAAGCTAGAAATCGTGCCCTTGCAGTTTTTGCAATTTTCACGAAAGAATATCAACGTAAGGATACTTTGGGACAATAATAAGAAAAAATTTTTTTACATTGAGAGGGTGCTATGGAATTTTGTTTGTCTCATAAATCACAAAAACCCTTAGGCTACGATTTCGTTATTAGCATTTCGGTCCTCTTATGGTCCTTTCTAGCTTCTTCAACAGTGTTTTGCAGTCTTTCCTACCATTCATAAAACACTTGTTATGCTTGAAGTTGCCATATTCTATCCGATTCCATTCGAATGAAAGGATATACTTTTTTCAAAGGAGCATAAAAAGGATTCATGAGCTAGAATGAATATCGGTGAAAAAAATCCTTATTATAATGACAATAAAACAAAATAACAACTACAGTCTTGCAAACAGCTCTTTTGTTTGACAAGGTTGCTCAACCCAAAGATATTTCAAGCTTCAATGACATCTCTCACAGTATAGAAGGCTACATTATTAAGTAGTATCATTTTCCTGGCTCAAATTCCTGAAATTGCAAAGTTTGATTCAAACCAATTGTTTATTCTTGAGGCCCGTCGTTTCTAATGCTTACGCAATGACGCCACTGAGCCAGGAGCAGCTCTAAGTAGCAATTAAAGAAGTTGTTGAACCATATCTTTTTCCAATTATGTCCAGACCGTTTTTTTCTCCCATTAGCCTTTCCTTCGCCGAAACTTCTCTGTTTTCTGAGTTTATGTGACAAGCTAAGCCTTTCTAATGTTCTAAGCTTCGTCATGATCGTTCCACCTAAATGGAGCACCGGAATTTCTTTCTTTATTGAACTACTAAGCGAATCGGGTTAATTAAGAAAAATTTTCATATAGCCAAACAAATCTTTATCATGCAAATTCAAAAAAGCGGTATTGTATTTTTTGTTCTCTTTCCACACAAACTAATGATATGATAGCTAAGTGCGCTGAATATTTTCACAATTTGAGGATCGTTTTGAATCAAATGTTCTGTCTTCTTGTTCATCCGCCCCATTATATTTCTATGTTTTTAGCCTCCTTAACCAAATTCACTTTTACGCTCCTCAAAGTTGAGAAAGATAAATTTTCATCTCCATGCGAATGAACTGAAAAACACCTCTCATTTTTTTTAACCTTGGGTTATGTACGATCTTCGCAGTTTCTTAACATTTCAACGTTTTCAGAAAAAGGGCTCTGATATACATATTTGTTACACGTAAGAGTTTTTAAAGTGTTCCTTGAGACATTTGTTGCTTATTTCGTCTATATTTCTGCGAGTCATCCATCGACCTTAAGACGGCTATCAGATGCTGAGTCATAATGACTAAGTCAAGCAATTTTCAGGGCCAAGGTTACCACCGCTGATTAGTATTAAATTCCCGACCATGGATTGTGTACTCAGCGGCACTGGTTTTAACATTTTCGTTTGATACTGCTAATGGATGGCTAGACGCGCTGTTTCAAGCGGCAACTAGAACGTTGAGAATAATTGTTTTTAATGATTTAAGCTGCTGAAGCGGTCACATTAATAATCTGGAACCGGCTTTGATACAACCGTAGCGAGATAGGAGTCTACTCGCTCTGAGTCGTTTCGAATATTTGCTCAATTTTTCCTCTGAGAGAATCATTGATTTAAAAAGTTCAGAAATGATATATTTTGGACTCGTCTCGTCGTGCTCTAGACTATGGAATGAGCGACATCGTGTCGCTATGGATACACCGGTTGCGATAAGAGAAGACGGTGTAAATGGCTATGCTATGTGTTCTATCCCTAACGGTTTGTTCAAATTCCATGGTAAAGACGACTGATTTTTATTCATGCATCGTTAAAGACAGCCACTCGAACGTTCCTCATGGAATCAACTCATACGCTATCAGCAGTAATAAAGAAGAAATGATTTTGATTTATGTCAAGTTTGATTGATAGAATGAAATTTAGTCGGATCAATTCCGAAAGTTGGCAAACATAAGAATAGACAATTGTCCATCGCAGCTACCAGGATAGTTTTCTATGGTGGATAAACCTTAGAATCATTCATAAACAATTCATCAGCGGGATCGACACATTTTTAATGTTATAAATAACTTTACTTTATCAAAAACTGCTGATGGAATAACTTACAATTCAGAATCTATTCGTTTACCAGCAAATTCGTGCGGCAGTTTCCCTCTGTAAGGTCATGAGCTGTCACGACCCTCAATGAAAACTGACGAAAACGAAGTTTCAAGAAAGTGAGAGAAGAGCCCTAAACGCCTCGTTTTTTGGTGCATTTGCATATGAAAGCAAACCCTTAAATGAGAAGGCCTTCTGACATACTAGGCCCCTTCTTTTTCCGGCCTATGCCAGAAATTGCTTCACAAAAGGCAGGAGCAACATTGTAGGTTCCGTATCTTAAAAACGTGCCAACGTCCCCAAATTTATATGTGCTAATTCAGATCAACTTTCTCGATCCTAAATTATTCTTGTTCAACTTTGTTCTTTTTATACCACTATATATTATTCAATATTATAAAAGGAAAATAAAGCGCTTTAGACTGTAACAACAATTTTTCTTCACGGTGCTTACATCTTGAAAATTTTGCTAGTTGCAACCTGTGACAAGGAAACAAGCAAGGAAAAAAAGGAAAACATATTCCATACAGGATGCTCATTGGACGCTCCAATGCATGTTGTAGAGTTTTTCCCCAAAATTTTCAGTGTGTTATTTGCAATCCGAGAAAACATTCTTTACTCTAATTTGGAAAATTCCTTTTTTGGAATGTTTTACCTTCGACCCCGCAAGCGTTTTGTATGTGTTCCAACCTGACCAAACTCTTTCTATTATTAGCTGAATCTTTACAATGCATCGTATACAAGGAAACTTTTGTAACTACTATACATCTTCCATTTGATCTGTAATCATGTTTTACCGAAAGAAACGAGGAGCATTCATGAAAAAAATTTATAACTAAAACACGTACAGAATCTCTAAAGCAAACATTTATCATAGTTGGAAAAAAACCTCTCAGGTTTTTTCGAAGCGAAACCTGTAAGAGATGCTCGTTCCGCTAAAGATGGGAGTCACAAAGTGTTCTAATGTGCCAAAAAACCTCTCAGGTTTTTTCAGAGCAAAACCTGTGAGAGATACACGTTCCGCTAAAGATAGAAGTTAAAGGTGTTCTCGTAGATACGAGGCACAAAGTTGTTGTATCTGAAGCGATAAATTGATTATAAAGCATTTCAGCTGAAGGGCTGTGATACCAGGAACTCCTGGTGATACATATTTTCGATTGCTTTTACTTGTTTTTCAATTTGATGTCAACATGTAACAAATGAATTTTCGTTTTGCCATATTTAGGTTCTGAGCTCGAAGCCGCTGGTAGAAGCGCTTCTCCGCTCATCTTCTATGCTAACCGAGACAGCATCAGGTACATAAGCACCAGGAACGTTTCAGTGCAAGGAGTTCTGCTATCGGGTTTGCAGGAGGTCAGATCTTTGGCCTTACATGTAAGGCATGGTTGGATTTTCTGGAGTGAATATGGCAGCACCACAACAATTAACAGAATGCATCTCTCTACCAGTGCCACCAAAGAAATCATATTAAATGGTTTAGGCGAGGTGCATGACATTGCAGTAGAGTGGGAGTCTTCACTTATCTACTGGACAGATTATTTGCACGAAACAATTGAAGTTGCTCGCATTGATGGGTCTCACAGAAAGACTCTCTTTTGGGAAAATGTGGCAAATCCACGGGCAATTGTAGTGGATTCTCGGAATGGGTAAGTTTAATTAACAAATGGTAATTTCGCGAGTGTAGTTACAAGTACCTGTGCCCTTATATATTTTGAAATTTTACATTGAGTTTCAATGCTGTATATGTTTACTGAACAGAACAAATTATTACCGTTAAAATCACAAAACTGGAAAAATCCACCCCAAAATCAACTGCAATACATAGCTGCCATAGAGCTAGCAGATGCTTTTTACGGAAAACACCATTTTAAAATCGAACATTCTCTCGTCTTTGGGTAAAGTGAGACTTGAATTAAAGCAATAGGAGAATGTGATTTAACTGCGTGAATTTGAACGCGAAGATCTCTTAGAACTCTCTCAAAATAGTTTGTAAATATTTAACAACCAGCCACCCATTTTGAGGTGGATAGCTGATTTAGTATATAATGAAACATTTGGATAATACAGTACAAAAATATGATTTTAACTAATTAATTACTGCAACGATTATAATTTTTCAAACGCAAATCTCGCGCAAGTTGCTCGGAGATGAATATCAAAAGATATTCGGAGTTTAGCAGCCAAATAGAGCGTGCCTTCAACGCCATCCACTGTTTTAGTATCTACTAAAACATTGTCTCTGCTATTGCTGGTTCATCTGGACGCCCTATGTGCCGCACACTGCCTTACAACGCTGCGGTTTCTTTTTTCAGTTACATGTACTGGTCTGAAACTGGATGGGACTTTCCCAGGATTGAACGAGCTACCCTTGCTGGAACGGAGAGAAGGATCATTATGGATGAGCATCCAGCACTTATACCAAAACTTCTGATAAATGGTTTGGTCATAGACTTTTCTTCTGATCTTTTGTATTGGGTTGATGCACAAACTGATATCATAGAGCGAATGAAGTTGGATGAAGAACGTAAAGCGGAAACTGTACACACGACCACAAGTCATAATTTGTACTCCTTTGGTCTGACGTGGTACGAGGATATTCTGTACGCAAGCGAGTTAAGAAGCCGAAGTATCGAGAGAGTTAATGTCACTGCAGGAGAGCACTTAAGAAACATGGGGTGGTTGACCGAAAAGATGACCTATCGTATCGCTCTAAATAGTTCTTCAAGGGAACCGTCAGGTGAGTTGAATTCTCTTATTGAGGCATATTTTTCGGTTGTTATTCGCCAAAGAAGATGCAAATATTCTGAAATAATAGACAGGTGTGATCGTTAAACGAAAATTTTAAATCCTGATCTCCTGACGAAAATATTGTCTCGCATAACTCCTTAGGACACTTCCAGAGTATCACCATATTCTTTCAACTTAGAGGTTCATTCCAAAAAATTCAGCTATTTCAGTGTGAAAGGGGAATCAGTGATCCATCATTCTAATTACAGCGCTTGGTCTATTAAAGAAATTTGGTGTACACCCTCTAAAGTAGTCGAGAGAGTCAACAGACCTACTTTAGGTCCTTATTTCGCTGTAATTTTTTAGGCGACTTTGGCAAACTTTGTCAAAATATAAAGGCGTCTTCAAGCGACCTAAGGAAACTTCAGGTTACTGACCTAGGCGAGGCCACGCGAATTCAAAACCTTACTTGCAACAACTTGAGATATATATTTTGTACAACTCCAATTGCCACTATGTTGAGGCCTATCATAAACTTATCAGTCATGCCGGTGCGAGAAAACGTCCTAAAGGTAATGAAAAATAAAATAAACCTAAAAATACCTGAGTTGAATGTAAAGAGGATATCGTGGACCTTAATGATATTTGGTTTTCTCATTTTTGTAGGCATGACTGACTGCAAGAACAATTCAGCATGCAGTCACCTTTGCTTGTTGACCCCAACTGGCTCCCAATGCGCGTGCCCCAATGGTTTCAAACTGCTACCCGATAATGTTACTTGTAATGGTGAGTCTTATAAAAAAAAATTCCTCTTTAAGGAAACTTCTCCTTAACCTGACTTTGTGCTTTTATTGTTTTTGCGTTTTACAGCTACTGGAGAGTCCCCAAAACCCCCTGTAGCAGGTTAGTTACGTATTCCTTGTTAACGTTCTCACATCAACTCCTGTTATACTCCTAATTATATATTCCTCGATGAGTGACATGCTCTATTTGGATTATGTAGAAAGAGATTGTAAGGGGCAGTGATGAGAAACTTTGGCTGTAACGAAATGAATGGAAGTTTTTCTAAGATCAGAGCAAACCGGCTTAAAAATGGATGATGTGTGGTAATGAGAAAAACGTCCTAGTGAAATAGCTAAAACTGATTGTGCATTAAAAAATTACTATCAAGAGACCACCAAACCAAAAAATAATGGAAATGAACAACAACAAAAACAAAAAAAATAAATAAAACAAAGGAATAAAGAGAACAAAAATAAAGTAACAAAATAAACACAACAATAGCACAAATAAGAGAATCTCGTCATTAATATTTTTTTAATCCCAAAAAGCGATTGAGGTTAGGCTAATGTTTGGAAGCATACCATCAATTCTCGAGGGAAGAATTGAAGTCAGGATGAAAGGGGACAGCAAAAATGAATGGGGAACAGTTTGCAATGATCATTTTGACATGCGAGATGCTCAAGTTGTGTGCCGCATGCTCAACCATAGTGGAGCTGAGTCCGTTGCGTCATATGGTTCTGGATCAGATGATTCCCCAATTTGGCTAGACAATTTGAAATGTCGAGGAAACGAGGACTCATTGATGGAGTGTAAGCACCGTGGATGGGGCCAGACAAATTGTGGCCACTTCGAAGATGTTGGTGTAAAGTGTAAAAATGACAGCGCCCCAACTCCACCGGTGGTAGCCCCAAATAGTAAGTTTTTTTAGAGCTCTGAAATTGTGCTGAATCATTTTCAATTCTGAACGAAATTTAAAAGGGTTTGAATTTCTGGCAAGTGCCTGTATTTAATATGCCAAGCACCATCTAAGTTCGTAATCGTTATCAATCAGATGGAAGACCAAAAAAGCAGACTTAGATCTAGGTATCTTTCATTTTAAAGAAGGTATACCATATATTTCACTGTTTCGAGTATTTTTATCGTTTGACTCGTAAAAATAGATCAGAGATATCTTGAACACTCGAGGAGTTGTCATTACCACAGTCGATAGCTTCCGGAAAAGAAAGACTAGGGGTGATCAGTAACTCTTCTGATTTGCTAAGATGACTCAAATTATCATTCAGTTTTGTACCTTCACTTTGATGGTTAATATGTTTATTTATTTATTATTATTATTTTGATTTTGTTTTTGCAGTGACTAAAGGACTACCAGGAAGTGAGAGATGTTTTAACTTATATAATTTACGTAACACATTAAGCTGGTAACGTTGCATTGCATGGGAGGTTATAAATGAACAACTCGATAGCAGCCATTACCACTGGAGATTTAATCTTCAGTTTAACATGTCAAAGGGGTTTCAATCAACTGAAATGCGTCAAAATTGGGTTTAAATGCTTAGGTTCCCTGGCCTGGGTTTAGGGACAAGGATCTCCATTAGTTAACGATCTTCAATAATCATAGAAACCTCATAGATACACAGTGGAGTTTCCAAGACACTCCGAAGTAAATAGGTAGCCCATGAGATGAGACATCATCTACGCATGTTGTGCCGGCACTAAAACAGCCTTTTATTCTCTTCCCTTGAAGATGTAACAATACGGTTACGAGGAGGCCCTACTGAACACGAAGGCCGCATAGAAATTACACATGATGGACAAGTGGGTACAATATGCGACAACGATTTTGATATCAAAGACGCACATGTAATCTGCAGGATGCTAGGATTTGAAGGAGCTTGGTCGACTATGTGCTGTGGACGGTACGGGACTGGAACCGGTGCGATATGGTTGGATAGCTTGCAGTGCACTGGAAATGAAACTTCCTTGTCAGAATGTCCACACTTAGGCTGGGGGAATTACTATAGCGTCTGTACTCATGCCAACGATGCTGGAGTTTACTGTATACCTAATCCTGTCATACCTCCGGGTTAGTTTCATTCGACAATAAATAACATTAAGGTGATACTTTTTATATTTCTTATAGATGTAACCCGTGACAGGGTGAAAAGTTTGTGTTCTTACAACGGTTGGGTTAAATCTCTCGAAGGATGAAGTTAGTCCTAAATAGGATGAGATAAATATTAAGAACGAATTAATTTATCACCCCACGAATTGAGTCTCCCTCCCCAGCAAAATTAACAAAACAAGTCAGAGGGAACAAGATAATTTGGTTATATTAACTGACAGAGTTGATCATGAAAATTGGCCACCGTAAAAATATTAAATCTAACGTTTCGATTGTTAGCCCATCTATTGATCTACATTATCAACTAAATTAATAAAACCAAATTGTCTTGTTATATTTCCCCACCGACGCACCACCACAGAGGGAAGTATTTTTTTTAAAGATGCTTAATTATCTTCTGTTAATCTACAGACAATATAATTCGCTTGGTTGAGGGCACAAGTGAGAATGAGGGTAGAGTTGAAATATTTTACAAGGACCGATGGGGCACGATATGCGACGATGGCTGGGATCTTAACGACGCCAATGTGATCTGTCGCATGTTAAACTACAGTGGCGCCTTGGCTGCGCCTATCTTCTCTGCTTACGATGTTGGCTCCGGGCAGATTTGGCTGGACGACGTAAATTGTGTGGGAAATGAATCCAGCATTGAAGAGTGTCTGCATGGCGGATGGGGAAATCATGATTGCTCACACAACCAAGACGCCGGTGTTATTTGCCAAACAAATGAGAGTGCTCTACCATCTTACGGTATGGTACAGAATTTCTATGTCATATGAAGTTGCTCAAATTGAAGACTCTTTTCAGTGAGGAAGAGCAGCAATTTTTAGCAGCATGTAGTTTAGAGACTCGGAAAACGAATCAATATTGACCACTTCTCGTGCGACAGTCGTACTGTGATAAGTACGATTGATGCAATTCTTCGGTACTCAGTAGATTGTTGGATATTTGCTGGTTGCAATGATTTCGTATACACCATTGCCGTCCTTTAAATAATTATCAAGTTAAAAAAAATGCTTTTCATTCTGAGGTAGTCCATGTTTACTCTGATAATTTTCCCTTTAATTGAATTTCCATGTGCCGAACGTTGCAAAGAATCATTAAAAACCATATTTTCCCCTTTTTTTCAAACAGAAAGCAAGAAAAGCCTGCTGTTCTCTGAACACTGGCGTGGAATTATATTTCAAGTTAACTTAGAAGGAAACGACCACCGAGCCGCCCCTTTACCGATTGATCATCTCCGCGGCTTGTCTGCTGTCGGCTTCGACCCCGTGGAAGAGCTCGTGTACTTTGCAGAATATGCTCCAGGGATAATCCAGCGTTCACATCTAAATGGAAGCGATGCTGAGACTATTGTCAATGGCATTTACTACGCAAACCGTTTAGCAATCGATCATCTTACCCGCAACATCTACTTCTCAGACAGCTCGAAATACAGAATTGATGTAGCGACCTTAGATGGGAAGCACCGAACGGGTTTGATTTCTACAGTTTGGCCAGAGGGTATAGCCTTAGACCTTAAAAATGGGTGAGTGCTCAATCAAGTCTTTCCCTATGATAAAACGAAGAAATATGCTCCTTATCATTTTTTGTCTTTATTTTCACCCAGGTACCCTAAGAAAATAATAGAGAAAAAAGAAACTAATGTAGAATAGCATTTTGAGCTTGCTGCAGTACGAAAAAATTAATTTGACGCCTTTGGCACCGCGCAAAGAATTAAACACTTGTTGCTAAATTGAAACGAAATGTTGCAGGATATTTTTGAGGGTTTTAATAGTCCCTCGCAAAACCTATTTACTATCAAAGTGACCCTTTCTGTAAAGGCTTGATTCATTGTAAAATCTGAAAATAACCTAAGCATCGAGCCCTACAGATGACTGAAGGTGGAAAAGAGAGATAGGTCGGTTTACATTCCGCCATTTGTTATGTGGATATGGTATAGAATCATCATACCTTAATGTATCCATGAAATTATATCTGCTTTTATTCAGACACATTTATTGGGCAAGCCAAGGATACCCACCGACCATTGAAAGAGCAGACTTGGATGGAAATAATCAAAAAGTTATTTTCAACTTGACAGAAGATTCCTATCCCAGTGGGCTGACGGTAGATTACAATCTGAATCGTTTGTATTGGACCGATAGAGGTGTCCAGGAAGTTTACTTCATTGATCTACAAACAGGTGGAAACCAAGCATTCATAACAAGAGAGATAATGGACCCAGTTGACTTGGCTATACATGGCGATACCGTGTATGTGACGGATTTAGGAAGCGGTGGCGCATGGGATGGTGGCATTTACAGCTCTCAATTAGCAGGTCCTGGAAATTTTTCGCACGAGAACGGTAATGTCTCTAAACTCATTGGCTTGATGAAGTTTACTTGGGGTATAGACTCTTACGACAAAGACAACATTTTCCAAACAGGTAAGTAAATTTCAACCAACCCTGAGCCAAGCTGTCTTCTTCATAGCATTCATTAGTTCACCGTTTGTGGCGCTGCTGTTTTATGAGCGAGGTTTATAAATGATGATTGAGATACTCTGGAATTTCAATCTGTAATGTATTTCTTAGAGCCCATGCTTAAAACACAGCCCAATCTTACCAGAATAATCGCACCACTTTCCGTTTTTAAAGTAGGAATTGTCAATGCAACAAAGCAGTCTGGGGAGTGAAAATCAATTGCCAGTTTGTCCCGTATGTTTTTTTTATTTCATTGTTGAGCCTTAGAAGCCATGTGATAAATTTTAATGTAGGTTTGTAAGAAAAATAGTACCCTTCTGGCCTGCTAAAAGATTCGGATGATAATGCGTGCGCTGAAATCTTCAAAACTTCTCGAACAACTTTTCACTTTCCGCATAACATTTCAGCCTCGGAATTCATGCTACGATATATCACATGCAGGAAGAGGCTTACTTCTCAAGTAACTGGATTAGCTAAGACATGATGATTTGCACTTTTATGTTTACAGACCCTCGTGGATGCCAACGGAGTGACCAGCAATGTAGTCACCTTTGCCTCGATGCGCCATCCGGGCCAC